GAGATGTTTCAACTGTGGAAAGGAGGGCATTTCGCAAAAAAATTGTCAAAAGGAAAGTGAGACCTATCTTACAGAGGAGAAGGAAACTAGAATAACACTGATGATGATTGATCTCAATATGGGAATTTGCAATGAAGGAGTTTGGGCAAATGTCGATCAGTACTCGATATGGTATCTGGATACAAGTACAAGTAATCACATGTGTGGGGACGAGCACTTACTCAGCAAATTGGAAAAATATGATGGCGATCATGTTTCATTTGGAGACGCTTTGAGGATCTCGGTAAAAGGTCAAGGTACTGTTTGTTTCTTGTAGGAGGATGACCTAGTCAGGTCAAATCAAGATGTGTTTTATGTTCTAGATCTAAAGAATAATCTTTTGAGTATGGGACACCTGATGGAGAGAGGATATTCGGTTTTCATGGAAGATCAAGTGCTCCAATTGAAGAACAAGTTTGGAAGATTGATGGCTCGAGTAGAGATGGAAAATAATAAAATGTTCAAGTTGGAGTTGAGAAGCATTCGGGAGAGGAGTTTGAGTTCAGAGGACACGTTGAAGGTAGATCATTGATCTACTCACATGCATGAGTTGGTTCATCATGAGAATCATGATATTGTCCAAGTTGGTGATGCAAGTGAAAGAGACCGAGTAGGGTGGGCAAGTTGTTGCACCTACATTTGTTGCTAAATCGGAACGAGACCGAGATGATGTGCCACTAGCTGTTGTCAAATCAAAAACCGAGAAGGAAGAGATAACCATGAAGAAGTTGTACTCGGATTGCTGAGCATGGAGGGAAAAGTTTGTGAAGGTGTGATGCTCAGAATGTCGAGTATGAAGATGAAGGTTTGCAGAAGAGTGGTCGATAACAAGGCGAGTACCCCACTTAAGAAAGCTTTTAGAGGAGTGGTCGGTGACCATATCCAAACCATTTTGCACAAGAAGGTCCGAGCTGTATTTGAAGAAAACAACCAAACTGTTATGGATAAGAACATCCGAGAACAAAATGATACATTGATGATGACCAACTTACCGAGCTATGGTCGACATATTGGTATGAAGCAAGTGTTTAAGAAAGATGAGAAATATGACCGAGTTATTGGTGTGAAGCAGGTATTTAAGAAGGATGAGAAACTTTTGTTTCAGTCTTTGATCGAGCTCAGTCAAAAGAAAAGATATGAAAAGATAAGCAAGGTGGATGTCAAGTTGACATTTCTGAATGGTGTGCTCAAGGAGGAGTATGATGAGAAACCACTTGGATACATGAAGAAAGGTGAGGAAGTGTCGAGAATATGTTTGTCCCAAGGAGATTTTGAACAAGTTTAAGATAACCGATTGCAGTCTGGTATCAACCCCCATGGAACTAGGTACGAAGCTTTCAAGGTTTGATGAAGGAAATCGAGTTGATCCAAGCAGATATCAAAGTTTAGTGGAAGTCTTTGATACCTTATGAGCACTAGACTCGATTTGATGCCGAGTGTCTGGATTGTCGGTGAGGTTCATTGTCTCTTGGACTCGTGGTACACAAGGTCGGAAAATTACCGACTTGTTATATATTCGGATAGTGGATCGGTGTAGATCACTACAAAAAAAAAAGAAGCTTCAGTAGGTAATTTCTACGGATTATAATCCGTAGATAATGCACTCGCTTGAACAAAATATTTTTATTAACTTTTTTTATTTATTATCAAATTAAGGGAATTGTCATTGGTAAGATTCGAACCCAAGTAACTCTTGGAAGCTAATACTCCAACCACTAAGCTATTAGGATATTTTGATAATAACTTACAAATAAATTATATTTATATTTATCCGTGTAAATATATAAATATAAAATATATAAATATAAAATATATAAATATAAAATATATAAATACAAAATATATAAATACAAATATATTTATATTTTGATATATTTATATATATTTATATATTTATATATTTATATATTTATATATTTATATATTTATATATTTATTATTTATATATTTATATATTTATATATTTATATATTTATTATTTATATATTTTATATTTTATATTTTATATTTATATATTTTATATTTATATATTTATATATTTATATATTTATATTTATATATTTATATATTTATATTTATATATTTATATTTATATATTTATATATATATATATATATATATATATATATATATATATATATATATATATATATATATTTATATTTATATATTTATATTTATATATTTATATTTATATATTTATATTTATATATTTACACGAATAAATATAAATATAATTTATTTGTAAATTATTATCAAAATATCCTAATAGCTTAGTGGTTGGAGTATTAGCCTCTAACTTTGAGGTATTAGGTTTGATTCTTGTTGATGACAATTCTTTTAATTTAATATAATTTACCTATGGATAGTAATTCCGTAGGTAATGTATAATTTACCTACTGATTTTTATCCGTATGTAGTATGGGTTAAAATTTGCTAAGCTCGGTGGAGGAGAAACAACTTGGTGCAACTATAATTCGAGTTGATAACAAATCGGCTATTGAACTAACCAAGAATCTGATCAATCATGAGAGGAGTAAGCACATTGATTTGCATTTTCACTTCATCCGAGAATATGTGAAGGAAGGAAATGTAGAGCTTGTGCATGTGATGAGTAGAGATCAAGTTGCTAATATTTTCACGAAGCCACTTCCTATAGTGTTGTTCGAAAACTATAAAAGACTAAGTCGGGTAGATGGAGTCGAAAGTAAGGAGGTCAGAATCAGGCTGATCTAAAGTGTTCTTTGACAAGGAGAATTAATTTTACGAGAGGGTTTTGTTAGGAAAAATTAATAATAAATTAATTAATTTTTAAGAGGTTTTATTGGAATGTTTGTAACAGTTGAATATTTTAAGAGTGTTGTTTTTTTGGGTGATTATTGTTTTTAATTTCATCTATGAGTAGAGGTTTTAGCTCAAGATAGATAGGCAATTGTATTCCTCATTTGAGCTATGACAGAGAATCAATAATATTCAGTTCCTATAATTTCTTTGTTATCATATGCATGCTTACCTATGACAAGGCTAAGGAAACATATATTTGCCAAGTTCATTCATATCAATGCTTTTGGTTGAAAATTCACGCCAAAAAGTAGCACATTTCTATAATTTCTATGTTTCTAAAATGTCAAATGAAGATAGCTTTAACCATTAAAACATAAAACAAAACCATGACATGAAACAAGAAGAGTCGTAGAGAGAAACATATTTGTTGTTGAACCATATTATATTTCTTACTAGAATCATATTTAAGACTAAATAATATATGAAAAATGATAATTCATCATCATAAACAAAGTGCAAACTTGTCCATCATCAAAGTAAATTTACTACCAAACTTTACTAATGATAACAAAGAATTTCTCATAAATCGTAAAACTGTATATTATTGATTCTTTGTCATACCTCAATTAAGGAATATAATGCTGTATTTATAAACAGTTTCAAGATCTTCCCAAAATCAAATAATAACTATCCAAGAGATCACTAATATCAAAATATTCTAACAAACTTCTAAGTATCTTCCTAATCTTTTTATTCCAATAAACTCTAAAACTAATTATTTAATTTTATTCAACAAAACCCAACAAAACTCTATCGTAAAATTAAATTTCTTCAGCAAAACTAAGATCGACTTGATATCGATCTCTCGACTCTCGACTTGTTGTCTTCAACTCTTCTTTGAGCTTTAAAACATGAGATCGACTTGACACTGACCTCCCACAACAATTGTAAAATCGGCTTGACAGATCTCCCGATTACCGACTTGTACTTCAAAACTTTTTGGCCTTCAAAACATCCTGGGCTCCAAACTTTTGAGCTTCCTACCAGCCAACTTGTCATCTTCCCGAGCACCTCGAGTGCCTTCCATCATTTATCCCGATAATACACGTCTTCACACCAGTCATTGTCCAAGTACCCTACAAGTTGGTAATTGTCTCGACCTCTTCGTCCCTTTTTCACACAACTCGATTTTCGGAGATCACCTCTCCATCCCGATTGAGTTCATTCACCATGATTTTGATAGAGGTGATGTACTTGGAAACTTCCTCCGAGTCTTTCATCTTCATGCTTTCAAATTCGCCATACGAGATCCGTAATCGAACCTATTTGATTTGTCATCGCCCTTGTATATTGTCTCCGGCATCGTGCACGCTTCTTTTATAGATTTAGTATTTGTAATCTTCTAGAAATCGGTATCTTCTATAATTTGAAACAATGTGAATAATGATGTATTATCTTTCTCACGATTCTTGTTCAACTCTCTCGATTGATCGTCAATTCTTTTGTGATCTTAGGTTGTTCAAAACATTCCTCTACTACTCCCCAACAACTCGGGCTTTGAGGAGAGCCTTCATCTAGACACTTCATCTATCATAACCGACCCCTTGGTCGGTCGGGCACAACAACAACATTTGTCGGACCAAACATCTCACTTTTTTTAAACACTCAACATTACACCCTCAGCTCTCTTGAGAAACCCTAGGTCTCACTCTTCCGAAGAACCCTAGTTCTTCTAAAAAACTCTAACTCTTTATACTAATTTGATAACAAAGAAATTCTCAGAAATTGTAAAACTATATATTATTAATTCTTTATCATACCTCAACCGAGGAATACAATGTTGCATTTATACATAATCCCAAGATCTTCTCAAAATTAAATAATAACTACCCAAAATATCACTAATATCAAAATGTTCCAATAAACTCTTAATTATCTTCTTATTATTTTTTTATTCCAATGAATTCTAAAATTAATTATTTAATTTTATTAAATAAAACCTAACAATTATTAACACAAATTAATTAATTAAAATAAGTAAACATAATTATAGCAGTAAAAAAAATGCAGAGTTTTACCGCCCACTAATTTAGACAGGAAAACTTTATCTCCTTGACAACATTACAAGATTCAATACTACTTATTTTTTTCAAGTTAGAACTCCATAGTGTCCAAGAATGGGTATTGTTGCCAGCCTCAAGATTACATTTGAAGATTTGGTCTGTAACCAAACTGAATAGCATCATGTGGTCATGTAGCCAACTTCAACTAGTAGGTTAAGGCTTTTATTAATGTTTGCTATATATATATATATATATATATATATATATATATATATATATATATATTATATATATATATATCATCAAAAGATGGTTATTGCTTTGAATCTAATGCTAATCAAAATTACAATTGTGTTGATCATGCTTCCTTCTATCCGTTTGATTGTTCAGGACTTCTGGAAGTTGACTTTGTTATCATTTCTAGCTGTCACATTAGCTGCACTCCTCTACTGCATCCATGTGTACCAAGTGCGGAAGCATATCTTTCACTTTGATTGTCTAAAGTGGAATTCATGTTTGGTAAGAGCATCTTAGACTACAAAGGTTTTAAGATTGGTATAAAGTTCTGTGCCGTTTGAAATGTATATACAATTGCAAAGGAGTGACAGTGTTTGGCTTAATGAGTGGGAATTGTTCACAATCATCCTGCTTTTAAGAGCATTCTTGTTGCATATAAGAATTTCCCTCTCAATAAATGAGACTGGATTTCATCACATAAATGAAGGTTATGGAGAAGTTTGTCCAAATAGTACGTAAGATCGTTATCATTTTCAACATCTCAATCTTTTTAATTAAATTTCATGCCCAATGCAACGTAGACGCAATAGTCTTTCTTGATATTATGACCACGTTCAAAAGCATATGCGCCTTGTATACAGTCAAACATTGCACAATTTAGCTCATAAGGAAGCATGTACAAAACTTGAAACTCAGGAGACAAGTCTTTTGCCAAAGTGGCTCTTGGATCTACTCCACAATTCACACTCAAATGCTTCCTTTGGTATCTCTTAAAAGATGTGTAGCAACATCAATTGCAAGAAATCGAGCTGTTCAAATTAGCAAAAGGGTGGAATTAATAAAATGAGTGATCCATCATTTTAGTCCCTAAATATAGTTCACATTATCACATTAATATTTTACACTAAAGGTATTTAATAATTTCTTAAAATGTAACATAAGTCTACACGAAATTTACACTTTCAGAATTCTTACACGGAATGAACGAAGATTTTTATAAGATGTTGAAAGAAGTACTTCAATTTTTAAGAGTGAGTTGGCTTCTTAGACAATATTTAATAGACACAATTTTCTAGTTTACTAGACCAAAGACACGTTTAATTTCGTTTATGTAAGTCATCTAACAAATTTTCATACAAAATGAAAATTGAACAAAAATTTTCGCAAAGCAAACTATATCTCTAATCATATTGAATTGCAGTATATCACCAAACAATTATAGAATAAATAAGACGATACTAGTGTAAAATAGAGAAATCATTATATCTTTTGATGACTGTCATTTAATAACCGTCATCTTATACATTGATGGTTATTAATAATAATCATCGTCATAGTTTTTATACCCTATTCTGACTTATCTTTCCTCATTTTTATTGTGTTCTTCTTTCCTCTTTCTTCATTTTTGTCGTGTGACTCCTTCCTTCTTCACTTTAGTTGTGTTGCAAGTTCCTCATGATCTATTTTCTGTCAAGCTATCACCTTACATTTCTCCCTCTCTCCCGCGGCTGTCTCTTTCTCTCCCAGTGGCAGTCCATCTCCCTTGGTGGCAATGTTGTGCCCTCTTTGTGGGTGGTCATCATGGTGTGCATGGTGGTTGGTGTTGGTCCGTGGGAGCAACTCATGTGTGGGTTGGTGGTGTGTGTGGTGGTGTGTGGTGTTGCAAAGATAGTTTTGTGTAGCTCATTCTTCCCTCTTGTTATTGGTGTTATGTCGTGTGACTCTACTTCGTCTCCTTTGTTTTCTTCTTGTGGAGTTCATTCTTCCTCTCTAGTAAGTAATTGTTTTGACTTAATTAATGTATAAATTGATTAACTATTTACAATGTGATGATTGTCATTGATATTTGGCTTTTTTAAACGAATTTGTGTTGAATTCAAAGATGTATGATCCTCAAAAAATTGCATTGTTGATTGAATTATATAGTTGTGTATGCATTACAAAATGTAGAGATAAACAAAAATTGGATTAATTGTGTCCAGTATAACTTATGAGTATGAGAAAGGAATGAAAGAATATTTACACATCGAAACTCGTAAACTAGTTCTACTGGTGGAAGAGTTAGGTGTCCATGTGTGAATTGTCTTAATGAAAGATCTTAATCATTATGTCACTTGTTATATGTATATATCTCAGGTATAATCATCATTGGCAATTTTTATCATATCTATGATTGACAACACGATGGTATGGTTTTGTTCAGCTGCACAAAATGTCATCTATATACCTTAAACGAATAACATATTGGTAACAATTTTTGGTTATTTTTATAAAAATTATATTACGGTTATGTTTTTATGTTTTAACTAAATAGATAGGTTATTAGTGCTTTTTCTAAATATAACATAATGAGCAGTATGTTAATTGGAAGACCACAAAAACTCACGTGGTTGCATCTAAATATATAATCACAAATATTTATTTTTATTTATTTTTAATACTAACAAACTAATTTAATTTCTATATATTTGAGAAACATTGTACTAGACAACTTAGAGGATGAGTGTGGTTATTATGTAATGCAATGGATGACAACCATTGTCCAAGCAGAAATAAAAAAAGGTTGAGACCATGTAAGACAAATATTTCTTTAAAAATAATTATGCATCAAAAAGTTAATTATAATTATATTTATAAAAATTTATTTAAAATATTAAATTTTTTTTATAGACACATCTTCCATAGATGTAGATGCTATAAAGTATACTAGACGTACATGAGAAATATACTTTATCAACTTGATTAATACATTAAGATAGTTAAATTTTTGTTAAAACAATATATTATATATATTATGACTTTATGGTTGGACATTAAAATAGTTGATTAATTATTCTGTACATTTATTATAGTTGACTAATTATTCTTATAAATATTTATAATGATTTTATAGAATTTTAGTAAAATTAATATTAAATAGTCACTATTTAATGTATTTATGTTTGTTTAAGTATTATAAATATGTTAAAAATTTGCATGGAAGTGTATTGGGTTGATTAAATATGTAGATAAAGGATTGAGCCATAAAATAAATTGTTTATTTAAAACAAGAAAACCAAACTACACAAAATCTTTGTTATCATAAGTTAAATACAACAACAATTATTTAAATTATATCTCTCACCAACAATGAATGATCTAAATATAGCCTAGTAGGCCAATTGTAATGTAGTTAAACATTGCTATAGCAGTGCGAACGTACAAATCTTATTGGAGCAGTCATAATATAAGGCATTATAAAATTCGTTTTCTATCTTCTGTTTAGCATTTTTCTCTTTCATAAATGTCTATATACAGAGAAATGCTTTGTATCCATTAATTCATAATTTCTTCTATAAAATTTGGTTTTTACCATCTTACTTTGATTTCTTTAACATATTTACAAGACTATGATTTGTGAATGTTTTGAAGAACGGTTTTGCACTAATTTTGAACTTATTTTCAGGTTTTCCAAAAAAAATAAAATCATTTATGTTACTAAAAATATATGTATTTTAAAATATTATAGGTTATTCTTTTTCATTCTTTAATTATATTAATAATAAATAGTTAAAAAAAAAGAATAAATAATAAAAATTAAAATAATTTATATAATCTCATCATTTTCTATTTAATTTTGTTTTTTCTTTTTCATTTTATTTCCCCATTTTCTTTTACACAATCTCAACTAATCACTAAGCCCAGGTAACAAGAATGCAACGAACGATTCACACACAAAATATCGATATAATTGTCTCAATCATTTCAAAAGGCAACCACGCTGAAAGAAGGCGACTTAAATTTATTCAATTCAAGAGTATGGATCGGCACCCTATCATTCTCTACTATATTAAAACTGTCCAAATACAGACACATGTAACCATTGTGTCAAATTTGTCCTTCTTTGACACTATTTTTGCATTCTACTACATTTTTTTTTTTTTTTTTTTAACTTGCCTTTCTTTTTCACCTGTTTACTTCAATTGTGCAGCATGCAAAAGAGGGAAGGACGAATGATGAGGGTGGATATTTTAATAGAAGAAGGGTTAGAGCAAATTGACAAACTTAGAGCATCTCAATACTAACAAGAGTGATTTAATTAAGAATAAAAATAAATATTTATTTTTATTAAAATTGAATAAAATTATTTAAAATTAATTAAATTTTAAAAAATTTATATATAGAACTCATGATAAAATATTTATTTTTATTTTTAAACTATTCGCTGTGAAAATTTTTCTTTATGTATGCTCTTAACATTTTATAATTTTAAAATTTTAAATTCAAAGTTAAGGTTTTAAATTGAAGTTCACGTGATATTCTCCTGTATATTGTATATTTGATTGATAATTTCGTTTGTAAATATCTGATAATTATTATCTCCTCAAAAATATTGATCGGTAGCATATTTAATAATATTGGCTTAGTTAAATAAAATATAGAATATAGAATATATTGTAAATAACATTTTTAATGTTTTATATCAACCATGAAATAATTTATGTTTCTGCAATGTTTTATATCAACTGTTGAATAATTTATGTTTTTCCATCGTTGGTATCTCTCTATTGCACCACCTTCATCAAGGGCAACTATGACAGGCTAGCAAAAACCACCCCTCTGTTCACTCCATCAGCCAATTTAACAGCGAGTTGTGAACACAAGTTGGGCTATAAATAGCCTTCAAAATTGGATTCATTCAGAACCATGGTGCATCTATATATTGTCTATCAAAGTTCATATCTTATAAGGAGATTTGAATTGAAGCAGTCTCGTTCTTACCAACTGAAGCAATATTTGTTAGAAAGTAAATGTAAGTTTTTTATAATTATTCTTTTCAGTATATATATATATATATATATATATATATATATATATATATATATATATATATATATATATATCAGATGTATTTTTTGTTTGAGGCAACTATGGTCGAGAATAATAATGACTACATTTTTCATGGGTATCTAACACTAAGGATATGAACTTGAAACTTGTACAGTTGATTCTTATTTTATCCTTCCACTAATTCTGAAACCTATCTCATTATAAAAATAAGTACTTTTTCAAACTGTCATTTATAATTAAATTCAACTCTAATTTTTTAAAATAGATAAATAAGGCACTTAGTGACCTTTTCCAAATAGTTATTATATTGAAAATATTTCATTTTGGTGTGTACTTTTTTATCGTTAATTTATGCAAACAATTATCATAAGTCCTCTTTTTTTCATTTATCTAATTTTCATTAATTTTTATAAAAATACAAAGCAAGACACTACGCCTTCTCAATAATAATAATAATAATAATAATAATAATAATAATAATAATAATAATAATAATAATAATAATAATAATTCACATTAAAGAGTCGTTATTCATTATTTCTGTTTTTATTTTTTTAGTGAAATTTCGTTTATGTCTCTTCTATTTACAACGTCGAGGAGTAGCATTCTTATCTCAGCAGTTTTGTGTTTTGTGAATGCAGAAGTAACAATGAATTCGGAAACAAGAGGCAGAAGTAGGAATAAAAGAATGTTACGAAAGCTTGAGAAGAATTTAAGAATTATACCAAAAATTACTTAAATTTTTAAAATGCTAATTAGAATTTTATACATATCTTTAATTAAGCTTTGAACTTTTATTTGTTTTATAATTAAATAGATCATTGGTAATAATTACTCTTAATGAGGGTTAGACGAAGAAACTGAACTAAAAAGCAAACACAAATTTAAAAGACTAAATTTAATTTAGAAGCTAATTAAAACTTAAAAATTTTCATATTAAACAAATACGTTGTTATTGCTTGCCTAATTCTAGCTTTCTAGCCGCAATTGAGTGAAACTCTTACTATATAGATTTGACTTTGAGTAAACTAGTTTGTTTCATGATTCTTGATTCTTTGAAAATATCTCTTTTCAAAAGATGAAAATGAATAAAAAATTATATATATTGGAAATAAATATCTCTTTTAAAAGGAGTTTTAGTAAAGATATTTTTCGTTTTCTTCATTCATTTTGAAACTATAGTTAGAAATAACTACTCGTTAGAACTATTAGATTTCAAGGGAATAAATAGTTTAAAATGAGTATTTGTTATATATATATAATGGATGGTTAATATGATAAAAAAATATTATAAACAATTATTTCTAAACATATATTGAATAATTGATTGAGTTTTAAAGATTGATGACTTGGTCTAATTCGTCTAACCTCATTTAATACATTAGACTTTTGAAGTTGCAATAGAGGGATTGCAATTTGCATGTAACTTGATCAAGATAGCAATTGTGAAATGGAAGAAAGCGTGAAACTGGGGGTGCCTCCACTCACCGGACAACAACAAAGGCCATCATTAGCTCTAATCACTTATCTGTACATTGCCCACTTCTTAGCAAGATGGGGTACCAGGTTCTTCTTTTACTTCTCAGCAATTGCTTAAACTTTTTATTTCATTGTTACATAAGTTGGATAAGGGCTTTAAACATTACTATCAGTTGAGAAGACTCTGTCTGACATGAGAAAATTATGAGTGTGATGGGAAAAATAGACCGCATGAGATATGATTTATTTGGCTTGTGATATTCCAAATCGTTGATGCATCAGTAAATGTGTTACACTATTTTTTTTTTTTTCTAAAACAAATAATTGAATTCATTGAGGAACTTTGTTTGCAGAATGTGGGAATTCTCTGTTGGTTTATACATGATCAATATTTGGCCAGAGTCATTGCTGTATGCAGCAATATATGGTGCCGTTGAATCTGCTTCCATTGCAGTGTTTGGTCCCATAATTGGAAGATGGGTTGATAAGTTGTCTTCTGTTAAGGTGAGACCAAGTATTGTTTATACAAAATAAGTCAATTTTGTGTCTAATGAAGCCATGCTCTCCTTTTGTAATTAGTTATCATATTAAGTATTACTTGGGAAAAAACAAAGTAAATTTTGTAGAAGTTATAAAAGAATATATAAATTTCTTTAGACTACATATCAAGGTCCCTTTATGGGATCAGCTGGTATGAAATTATTCTACTTTAATTAGGATTAAGTATGTAACTTTATTAAATACTAAAAGAAATTTTTTATCATACAGTGTCTCTACCTTGTTAGAACAAGATTGCTTTCAGTTAAGGATAGAAAAAATATCAAAGTGCCTTTAGAGAAATAACTTTATCTGATTGTTTTATTGGCAGGTTTTACAATTTTGGTTGGTGACACAAAATCTCTCTTTTATTATTGCCGGGGCTTCTGTAGTTGCCTTACTCATCCACTCATCTTTGAAGTTTACACATTTCTCCATTTTCATGTTGCTGGTGTTGACAATCAACGTCTGTGGTGGCATTGGCGTGCTTTCAACTCTTGCGGGTACAATCCTGATTGAAAGGGAATGGTAATATCTTTAAGTCTTTAGGGAGAAAAGATAGATATTTGATTATGCATGTAAAGTAAATTGTCTTTTCTTGAATAAAATATTGATGCTAAAGATTTAGCTCTCAGTTCTCACCATAATATCTGATCAATTTCTTAATGTTCTGTAAGACAGATGAATTTTGTGTAAAAAGTGCTTTAGTTGCCGTTGAACAGGTTGTTAGTTATATCTGAAGGGCAACCTCCAGAATTGCTTACAAAGATGAACTCAGTTACAAGACGCATTGATCTAAGTTGCAAACTTCTTGCTCCTGTCATCACGGGGTTCATAATAAGCTTTGTATCACTTAAAGCATCTGCTATAACTTTAGCACTGTGGAATACAGTCTCTGTTTGGGTGGAGTATTGGCTTTTCACATCTGTATATAATGGGATTCCTGCTTTGGGCCAAAGTAGCCAGAGGAGGATGGCAAGACTTTTACATTGTGATCAGGAAATGAGTAATCGAACTTTGGAGGAAGATAGCTTGCTTCCTGCTACTGGTGGTAGCTCAGAATTGACAGATAGAAAATGTAGTAAAAATATTTCTGAGAAGATTTCACAGATTCCTTATGTTGCTGCATGGAGAGTTTACTTCCAGCAAGAAGTTGCACTTCCTGGACTAGCTCTGGGTTTGCTATTTATCACTGTACTAAGGTGAAAGCTTGCGAACATTCATAGCATAGCACTTTGCACAAACTTTGCTTTTGAGGTCAGTGTACGTATTGTACAGCTGCCTCTAATAATAATAATTCATTGCTTTTCAAAAAAATAAAAATAAAAATAAAGAAAGAAAATAACAAACAGCCACAGCAAGTTAATGTTACACGAAGAAAGAATTTAGTCTGAATTATCTTTTTTCCTCAAATGTTTAAAATGTTCAATTTATTTATGAATAAAAAAAGGTAGGCGATGACCCATGAATTTATTTATGAGGGGTTCCCTGATATTTATTTACATTTACATTTTTAACTCTTCAGAAACTTGTTCGGTACTATTCTATATGTTATATCAGAAATGTTCGGATTCAATGAAGGAAGCAAAAACACTTCAAAATTGTACATATATATCTTTGTCAAATACATTTCAAATACCTTTTAGTTCTATCTACATTAGTGTTAATATTGTATTCATTTTATATGTGCTTTTATAATAGTAATACATATTGGGTAATCCAAGTGTGAGTTAAGTTTCACATTGAGTAAGAATGAGAAAGTTGAGCAACATATAAAAAAGTATGACCTATAACCTAATGTTTTAAGGTTTTAGGTTGAAATTGATGTCAATTCTTATGTGAGTTGGATTCATGTCTCATTTATGTGTTTCTCCCATCTGAATCCCTCCTCAAAAGACCCAACAAGTGGATCAGAGTAGTCTTTGTACCAATGTGAAAAGACTCACACTTGAGGACTAGATTGTTAGGTAATCCAAGTGTGAGTTAAGTCCCACATTGAGAAAGTTGAAGCAACATATAAGGAAGTATGACCCATAATTTAATGTCTTAAGGTTTTTGATTGGAAGTAGTGTCAATCCTTATGTGGATTGAACTCACGTCTCATTGGTGTGTCACTCAATGATCACGAAGTCGTTATTTAACGACTTCAAGATCTTCTCTACAACTTGATTATCAAAGAGCATCTCTCAATTTCGATTAAGCTAGTTCACCAAGGTTTCAACACCAGTGATATATTCGAAAACTCTTTCTAACTTCTACATTATCATGTTCTCAAGTTTGTCACGAAGTGTTTGTAGCCGAACTTATCCTACTCGATCATTGCCTTTTTATACTTTTTCTAAAATCTCTCACGCTTCTTTTTAAGTTTTAACACTTGGTATCTTCTCAACGCCAAATTCATTAGCAACTCAGGGCAACACATATAAAATTGTTTTATCTTTCGCACGTGTCTTTTTCAACGCTTTGTTTTGGATTGTCGTATTTCCGTGGTGTTTGTTAGTTCTTCGTAACAATCCTTGACCATCTCCCAATAATTTTGGAATCCAATGAGGAACCTCGTTTGGAGACTTCAATTGTCGTAGTTGCCTATTTTTATCAATCGAGGTAGGGATAAACTCTTTATTAGACTGACCATCACCATCTTCAAGCTCTTACATACTCAAACACACCAATTTGATCATAAAGAATTTATAAAATTTGGTATATTATTATCTCTGTCTCAATTATCAAATAATACATCTAGTATTTAAAAACTGAAATTTGACATTTTGTTTTTTAGTCATAAATTGTATTAACTACCTAGGATTGTAATAATTGATTCTTGCCTTTTACAAGATATCTAAGCAATCAAAATATTTAAACAAACATTTAAACTTATTATTTGTTATTTAAGTTTATTCAACACTACCTCCTATGACTATATTACTTCTATGGTACATGTGCTCTTTAATGTGTTCATACTTTCTAAGTTTCAGCAACATGAGCGTTTGTTGCTGTTGTGCATCCATTTTTGTGAAATTACTGTTTTATGATAAACAAATAGTCTGAGCTACCAATATCTGTCGATTATATTTTATAATCATTGGACAAAGTCATTGAAAAAAATCATTCTAAGCACAGCATAAAAAACCTGTTGAATATATCTTTGTTGTCACTTGGGTTGAGAGTCATTGATGGAATTCCAATTACTTGCCTCAGTTTTGGAACTTTGATGACAGCTACTTTAGAATGGGAAGGAATACCTGCATATGTTATTGGACTAGCTAGAGGAATAAGTGCTGTGATTGGAATAGCTGCAACAATTGTATATCCTGTGCTTCAGTCTCGTATATCAACAATTAGAACTGGACTTTGGTCTATATGGTCTCAGGTAGACATAGTAATGGATCTAGAATCTTAAGTGTTATCTGTGAATACCATGTTTGAATGCTAGTCATATTTTCAATTTCCTTCCATTCTGAACCAATATGCAAAAGATGAGTTGCTGATAATATTTAGCATAAGGGTTATTTTCTTTAAGGGTTATTGTTATTCCTATTGATCGTTGTTTTCCGAGTTTATGTATGTTGTGCTTGCAGTGGACTTGCCTCCTTCCATGTGTAGCTGCAATATGGATTCAAAGTAGCTTTCTATCATCATATATTCTGATGGGAAGTGTAGCCATTTCTCGGCTTGGATTGTGGATGTTTGATTTGTCTGTAGTTCAACAAATGCAGGCAAGAAATAACCCTTATTATCTGAAACTACGTAATTTGTTTGCTGTCTAACTTCTAACATGTTTGTTTAATCACTGAAGCTCTTTTCTTTTAATCATCATGGCCTGATTTTTCTTTCTTTTCAATCTCTGAAATAGGATCTTGTTTCTGAATCCGACCGTATGATTGTTGGAGGTGTTCAAAATTCACTTCAGTCTTCGATGGAATTATTGGCCTATGTTATGGGAATTATAATATCTGATCCACGGGTTAGCTTTAAAACTAATGCATTCGTTTAGAACATTTTGAGTGCCCTTTACAACATTCAATTCTTAGTTATTGGTCATTGTTCTATGAATAAATACATGGGGATTTTCAAGGCCAAAACAATCTATATCTACTAGTTTCATTTACATTAAGGCTTTTGGTTACAAATTTATACCATGTAGTGCACTTCTCCATAAGTCATTCTGACCTTTCAAATAAAAATTTAATCTAAACAGCAGTGCAAAATTATTTGCTACATCCTTAACTTTGGTCTAAACAAAGTGTATTTCATAAGTTATGCTTAATGAAAAAATTTCATCCACTGTCAAAAGATATATTGCATTGCGTTAAACCTGTTTCTTATTGTTATCTGTCTATTCAGGACTTCTGGGAATTGGCTTTAATATCTTTTCTAGCAGTCACGTTAGCTGCGTTCCTCTACTCTATCCACGCATACCATGTACGAAAGCACCTCTTCCACTCTGACCCAGTATTGTGGGGTAAATGTTTTGTGAGAGCATCATAAAATCTGTGAAGTACAAGTTTTGTTTTTACTTTTCATGATATTTGAAAGACAAAGTTTAATTTGTATGCACAAATAGCGTTTGATAGAAAACTGGTGAATTTTTTATTTGTTTAGTCATAAAATTCACGAAAGATAATAGTTAAGAGGTAAAATATGCAATTAATTATATTTTAAACTATATTATTTCATGTTGAGCAATTTATACCTAATTCTAAATTGTATTGTCAAATAGAAAAAATCAATAGATAAAGGAGGGAGTAAAAAACTATTTGTAGAGAAGTTACCGTATCTCAAGGCTCCTTCACAAATAGATAAAGAAGGACAGATTCGCAAGATTCATGGATATTTTCAAGCAATTGCAAATTAATATATCATTTGTGGAAGCTATGGAGCAAATGCCAACATATGCCAAATTCATGAAAGAGCTCTTAACTAAGAAAAGATGATTTACTGATGAAACAGTAGAGTTAGAGGCAGGATGCAGTGCTATATTCCAAAAATCATTGCCTCAAAAGTCCAAGGACCCTGGAAGTTTCACTGTACCAGTCACAATTGGTGAATTACCGGTGAAAAAATCATTGCTTGATTTAGGGGCCAGTATAAACCTCATGCCATTATCTATGCTCAAAAGAATATGAGACTTGGAAGTAAAGCCTACAAGAATGACATTGCAGCTAGCTGACAGATCTCTAAATATTTCTTATGGAGTAAAAGAAGATGTTTTAGTTAGAGTGGACAAATTCATATTTCTTGTTGATTTTGTGATTATGGACATGGAGGAAAATGAGAAAGTCTCATTGATCCTGGGAAGACCATTTATGAAGACTGTCAAAGTAATTATAGATGTTGACATGGGCAAGTTGAAAATTAGAAGTGGAGATGATGAAGTTAATTTGAATCTGTTTGAAGTTGTACAACAACCGAAAAACAAGAAAGATTGTCTCAGAATAGATACTTTGGATGAATTACCCATCTCAATTGAAAAACAAGATTACAAGTCTGTTGCACAACCCCAAAGACATCTTAATCTGACTATGAAGGAAGTTATTCAAAGAGAGGTACTGAAACCTCCTGAAGCAGGTATGATTTATCCAATATCTGACAGTTGTAAGGTTATTCGCAATGAGAAGAATAAATTCATTTCCACAAGGATAGTCAAGGGATGGAGAATGCGTATATATCACCTTGATCACTCATCTGCATGAGCCCTAAAGCAAATAGGTGTCGAGCTAAAGACGTTAAACAAGCACTCCTCGGAGGCAACCCAATGTTTTGAATTTTTTTTTTTTTTGCAGTTTAAGTTTTTTTGTGCATTTTTCTTCCTTAGGTTCTTTCTTTGCAAGATTGCTCCAGGTACACAGTGCACATCTCCTCAAGACTTTGAAACCTTACTTCAATAGCCTGGGGACAGTCCAACTTTTCTGGAGGGGGTGAAAAAGTCTGCAGCTGAAGCTGAGGCACAAGATAAGGAGTACATGACAAATGAAAAAAATGAGGGAGAAAACTTACTTTACTTTTAATATTTTTAATTTAATACTTTTAATTACTTTATTTTAAATTTTGAATTCTAGTGTTGTCCATGATTTATTTATTTTAGAGCCATATATCAACTTGATATTAACATTAATTTCAATTTAAACTCTCACCAGTTTTTAATATATTGTCAAATCTAGTAATGAGATACCTACTCAATTATTGAAATATCGACACTCTCAGCAGCCATGCGCGACGCATGGTAAACATTGAATGGAAAAGAAACGTGGTAATATTATCAAAAAGGCAAGAACCACGTGCTAACCTTTCTTGTCTTCGAACGCTGGTACGCTGCTCTTCAGAATTTGTGTAGTACGAACGGTAAATAGAATTTATATCAATAATAAATTATTTATGATTAAATATTTAATATATTTTTATAATTATTGATTTAATTAGAAGAATATGTTATATATATATATATATATATATATATATATATATATATATATATAGATGAAAACCAGAAATTTTAAATATAAAGACTAAGATATAAAAATTAATTATCATATAAAAATAAATATATTATATATTTAATATTATTAATTAAATTTAAATTTTAAAAAATAAATTTTATTTTATCTATCTTTTTCATAAAAACAAATGAGTTTACAATTTTATTTTATAGATATTTTTAAACTTTAAATTGATTTTTTTATATTCTAACATAAAAATATAGGGTATCATAAAATATTAAAATAACTAACTAATTTATATCAAATAAAAAACATTTATATTAGTATTTCATATTTTTATATTATACTACAAATGTGAATTATTATAATAATAAATAAAAATACATTTATTTACTGTATTTTACTTAAAAAAATTATTGTAATGTGTCATCTTTATTTTTTAACTTTTATTTGTATTAATAAAATAATTTTTATTTAATTTTTTTTAAAAAATTAGTATATATATACACGATAATTTAACTATTTTTAATAGTTTCAAAGTCAAAATTATAATTTATTATTAAATAATATGTAAAAAATAAAGCGGAAACCACTAAAAAAAATATGTTATTTGTGGCAGTAGAGTTTAGAAGTTAAAAATCGCTACAAACAAAATTTGTAACGATTAATATAACTGTCATATTTGTAGATGTCAAAAATAATTTATAACAAAAAAATTTTAAATGCTAATATTTATGTCAAAAAAGAAAAAAAATTCCAACAGTTAAAAATTCTCACAAAATATATTATTATTCTCATTTTAATTTACTATTTTGTTGTAGTTTGAAATTGTTACAAATGTTATTTTTATGATTAATTTTATATTTTAACAATTAAAAACCGCCATAAAATATATAATATTTTATAATTATTTAAAACTTATTGAAGGTTTAAAAAAATGCCAAAAATTATTTAATTACTATTTTTTTAAATATTTTATCAATAAATCAAAATTTTAATTATTATTTACAAATTATTTTGTAATAATTTTATAATTAATAATTAAAATATTTTTTTATTTAGAATTACTTTAAAATATCATGATAAGTGTAATAATAATTTTATCATTTTAATAAAATCAATAATCTAAATATATGATATATCGATAAACTAAATTATTTATATTAAAAAATATATAATGAAATGTATAATATATTTTTTATTTTTTTTAATGACATAAAATATTAGTTTGATTCTTACTAAAAAATGATTAAATTTGTAGTTTTTAGATATAATTTACTTTGACAAAGTGCTTAGCTAAATATAATTCAATATCAATTAAGATAAAATCAAATTGCATCCTAAAAGTCCAATAAAATTCATGACATTATTCATTAATAAAGAGTATCTAACAAGATACGATGTCAATAGATCCACAAATTTCATAACATATATGTCAAACTTAATGAAAATTACTATCCAATGAGTATTCTCCTATGATGTTGGCATATTTCATTCACTTTCTTCATCCTATGAAATAAAAATACTATCATCTTAATATAATTAAAAATATATATAAAAGATATTAAACTCCATAGAAGTAATTAACAATATAATTCTATTAACACAAAATATGAAATACTTACATATAATGTCAAACTTTATGAAAATTACTATCAAAAGATGATTCTCCTTGTGGTGTTGACATATCTTGTACACTCTCTTCATCATATAAAATAAAGATCATATCATGTAAGCATAATTAGAAATTATACATAAGATATTGAACTTTATACAAGTATTAAATAATATAATTTCATTTAAAATAAACTATAAAGTACTTACAATTATATTACTTATACTACCAAACATGACACCTAACTTCGGGAGGAATGTGTCCTTCTTTCATTTGGATGTATGCAAGCATGACACTTTTTAATGTTTTGACATTTTCTTCAGAAGTTGCTAATTTTTTTCTTAAATGAATAACTTCCTCTTTCAATTGAGAGCTTCCACTCGAATCAGAATTTGAGAAATTACACCCTGCATTACTAAATCTTGTGGTAGATTGGAATGCAACACTATGAAGGCCTCTTAGTCCTAGACAACGTACACGCCCAAGATGATCCTTTACCAGCACTTTACTAACACAATCATTAGCTAAAATTTCTGTAAAATTGATACTTTGACTCATTTCTTGTGTTATTTTCTCCTGTAAATAGAATAAATACAATTGTTTGATATCCATATTAATATTATATAGAGGAGGCTGTAAAATAAGGTAGATGCAAAGTCATGATATTTGACAAGTCACAACTTGAAGCATGTTAACATATCTAATGAAGTGAAAAGATGGAGATATCTCAATTTAGAATTTTAGCACATCCCTTTAATTGCGCTCTGTCTCAACAAAGTTGTTTCCGACAATAACATCAGTTTGGTCACACTAAATAATACAAATTAAACTCAAACATTCTATATGTTTATGATTTATGATATGATTCTGGGTCAAAATATAGAAACTGAAACAAGACAAAGTTTACACCATACGCTGTTCAAATATGTGGTTGGAAATTGGAATCCTAGATGCAATGCTTCAAACACTAAATTATAACGTTTCTGTTGAGTGGTGGGTGAGTACAGTACCAAAGTTTGAGTAGTTAAAATTAACACCCACATACAAACCAAAATTATATTTTAGTACAAAGTCTTATCTATAGTATATAATAGAAATAATATAAAGATGATTTTGTCAGGTATGGTGTTATTATAATTAGGAAACTTCGAGCCAATAACAAACAAGTCCGACAAAGATAAATTAAGTAGTGAAACTAAAATATGACAACCAAATAACACGCATTGAATAATAAAAATTTAGTTTTTTTTCATATTACAAATAATAAATAAAAAGAAGAAAAAATAATAAAATTTAAAAGACCTAAATTAGAATAACAATAGAGTCAAAGTTATCATCGAGTACAAAGGGAAGTTGCGGATGGTCTTAGTGATCTATCTACGACCTGGTATCAAATGGTTTATTCTTTATACTTTAATTATATTCCACACTATGTT